TGCATTGCATCCCTTTTGCCATTTGGTTCCCCTTATATTGCAGCAGGGGTGTTGAAGCAGAAAAATGTGGGGTGAGCAGTGAAATGTTCTTCTTTGAACCAGTTTCTGCTCTCAGCCTGTTTCTTTCTAGAGCTGTGGTTCTCAACTTTTTCAGAGTCAGGGCAGCTCTGCATAATTTTTCTGAATGTGGTTGAGAACCATATTTTTGTGCTGAATGTACCTCAGTGCTTCTCAACTGGATGATTCTGCTTCCTGGTAAAACTGCCCCATGCACCTGCTGCACAGCTGGCCCAGGAAGAGCTGCTGCATGCACATGCCCTCCTCCTTCATTAGGGCTCTCTGATCACCCTAAAGCTGGCAGGAAAGCAAGCTCGTGCTCTAGCTGTTCCTTGTCCAGCAGAGTGTTTCCCAGAAATGGGGAGGCAGGGCACAGAAGCGTGCTGCATGCCCCTATTTCCTGAAGAAGTGTGTAGGGCAGGGACTGAACTGGGTAGAGCTATAAGCCATGCCAGCTCTCCCTAATGCAAGATGAGTGCACACATGCCTCAACCCTGGTCAAATCATTTTTACCTAGCTGCTGCTGTGCCGGTGGCAGTGCCTGTCATGGTATCCCTGCAGGAGGTCTTGCATCACCCTGATTGAGAACCACTGTCCTAGAGAGAGGCACATAGCCATGTTAATCTGAAGATCTGCAGAAGGCAGGACAGGGTGGCACCTTGCTTCTCTGAATGGGTTAGTCTATAAAGTCGTACTCCACTCTCTGTTCTGCCTAGTTTCCTTCTAGTTACAGCCTATGTCAGTCAAAGCCTTTTAAGAGCCAGTTTAGCTGATTTAGGGAGAGAATCAGTAGGCTTAATGGACTACACTAATATAATTTGAAACAACTAATTTTCATTGTCCTTTGGGCTATTTGAGACGAGTAGCAAAAGTAGCGTCAGTCTGATCTGGTTAAATCTCATTGTGACCATCAACGATTGACTGTTCTGGGCATTAGATTTGAACCTAGATAGTTTTTACACCTTGAGGCTGCCAGTTTTTATAGATATCAGGTTAGTGTGGTTTAAAGTAGTTTGCTTTCTATATGTGGAGCCCTTGTGAAAATTGGTGGTCTCAGCTCAGGTGTTACAGTCAGGCATCTGCATAATAGCTAGGATTAACTGATATTCTTGTAGAAAGAACAGAAAATGATAGAACTTGAGGGAACAGGATTTTTCTCACCCAGAGGTGCCCCTATAGTGATCATGCAGCAATCTGAGGAAGGCTTGTAATTCTGCCTCCTGTGCTATATCTGTTCAGTGAACAGGAGGGAGACTTTTCTTCCATTAGTTTTCAGGATGGCACCAGTCAGAAGAAATAAATCTACTTCAAAATATAGCAGTCAGAAGGCAGGGTAAGATAGCACCTTAAAGACTAACTAATTCAGAGAGCCATACGTTTTTGTAAATGACAGCCTACTTGGTCATATGCTATGAATGGACTTGCAGAGAGAAGGAATACTAAACAGAGAGGACTGAAGTAATTTAAATATAAAATATAGAGAAGAGGATGAGGAAAGGATAGGAGGGGGCACCGAGAGAGGCAAAGATAGGTTGAAGAGATCAAAAGGAATCAAAGCAGTTGATCCACTGAGGGACCTTGGGGTTATAAAAGCTAGTTCAGGTAATAGGATAAGAATTGAGAGTCTCTGCTGAGACCACACTTATACAGTCCAGGCTGTGGATCATTTCTCATTCTGCAATTTTGCATATAAGTTTTTTAATTTCTGTTGTTTATGAACAACTACTCTGAGGTCAGTGATAGATGTCCAGAGAGGTTAAAGTGTTCTGTCACAGGCTTGTGTGTCTTCTGGAATTGATGTCAGATTGGAATCCATGTATTCTTTTACGTAGGGTTCACCTTTTCCTGAAATATTTAAATACATATAAAATATAGCAGACATTTAAGAAATGCACTGTCGGTGCACAAACCCTTGTTCTCCATTGCCTTGCATGTGGTGTAATCATTTACCTTGTGCCAAGTCAGTGCAAAATATTTGCACCACTGTGTCAAGTAGGAGAGTTCTGGTTTTGCAGAGTTATCCCCCTACCCTACTCAGGTACTAATGGTTACTGTGGAGAACCAAATAATCAGAGCTTTCAGGTCCTCTTTCAAATCTGATATTTATCTATCTGAATTCAAAGCACCACACACTTAACAAAAATCTTTGATAACAACATTGATCTTGGAAAATCACTAGTCGTTCCAAAAGCGTGCCTGGACAGACACACATCCCTTCTCAGCTGCCAGTAGGTGCAGATTCTGCCACATGTCACTTAGAATATCAGTTACTACCATTGTGGATGTCACGGAATTGTAATGATCTCCATAAAATAACACACAGACAAACAAACATATGGTATCCTTGGACTTGACTAGAACATGTGACTCCTTAAATTTTAATTGATGGAGATAAACTGAATTACTAGGCTCACTGACTCTCTAATTTGACTCATTCAAATTGATTTAGATATCCCTTGGATGATAGTCCTATTAATAATTTAGAATGTTTTTTCAGGACCTCTGATATAACTGCAGTTGGAACCATTGCTGCCAAAAGGTGTTCTTGCCTTAATTTCTTCCAGTATGGCATTTATTTGAATGAATTTCTGCTGTAGAAAATTCTTTATCTTGAGATTGATCTTTGCAACAGTTTCCTAAGGCTTCCAGTACAAATTAGTATTACCTTTGGTTCAAGACCGTTCTCTATGAGGCATCTTACTTCTGTTGCTCCTTTACACAGTCTGTGGAGTCTTGATGTTTCAGTGCAAATATTTTAATTGCAATAACTGTTCATCAGAAATAACTCTGAACATTTCCAGAGTTAAAGAACCAGATGTTAAGGGTAAGAGCATCTAAACCTACAGCTGCATCATACCTGATTTAATAAAATCAGGATGCTTTCCTTCTCAGAAAGCACAAGGCTCTTTTCAGTGTTTTTCCTTGAATCTTCCATTTGATTCAGGTGTTGAATTCTGTCTTTGATAATTACAATTGATGGCATTTAATACATCATATGATGGGCCACCTTCTCTAAACTCCACCCCTCCCCTTCCCTGTGTCAGTTCAGATCCCTTCCAGTTGAAATGAAGGGCCAGCTAATCATTATATGAATAAAGTAGCAAAGACAGTTTTCAGAAAATGCTCATGTTAACTCACTCTGCTACATGAAAAATTCAGCTGCCTCCTACTTTGTGTCAGAAGTCTGGTGGGTCTGTATATGTGTTGTCTTTGCAATCTTGATTAATTTCTTTTGAAATCTGACTAATCTCATTGAGACTTCCTCAAGTTACAGAAGTGGAAAAAACGTTTTATGTAGCATGAACTAATAGTACCGGGTCTGTCCTGCTAGAGCTGTTGAATTGTTTTGTGATTGTTATTCTAGTCCCTCAGTGTTTGTCATTTGTTTGGATGATTCATTAATGGACAAATTAGATCACGGGCTCAGGACAGGTGTTGTGCCTTCTGGCATATGTCTATGGCACTTGCTGAAATGAAATTCTGATTGTGAATAAGGCATTTGGGTCTCACAACAAAATATATGCTTTAACTAATAGGCAGTATTCTCTACTTTAGTAACACCTGGAATGCCCATACTCCCGTCAGTGTGAAACTGTTGGGTAATGCTGCAAACTCCTTCGTAAGTCTGTTGGCAAAGGTCTGTAGTACTGGCTGTAAAGAGTTTCTGAGTTTGCACCTGATGGAAAACTATACTGCCATTCCTCAGCTGTCTTCACTCTAAAGATAGTGTGCGAGTAGGACTCGTGGTTTTCAGTGGGAGAAGTGCCTGACCATAGCACAATGAAACTTAGTCTAGAATCTAACATCTCCACAATGAAGGGGAGAGAGTTGGAGGTAGAGAGGAGCAGTAATCCAGACTAAAGCTGGTGGGTGGGAAAAATTTTGGGGATAGGGCCGTATATTGTACTGGTCAGCCATTCTTGCACATTAAAAGAAGGCAGGAGTCAGAAGAGCATGCCCCAAGTTGTTGGAAGTAACTTTGCATTAAAATGCAACTGCATTGAAATGTACTGGATATAGACAAGCTTTCCTTGGCTCCTTTTGAATGGGAGCCAAACAGCTTTAATAACTAGACTGCAAAATGTATGTAGCTTTTCCATAGCTACAACTAAAGCGTCAGGGGCCAATATGTTTCTACAGCCACATCCCTGGAGAATCAAAACATTCCTTTTATCTTCTGCAGCAGGTGTACCTTGCAGGTGAGGTCAGAAGAATAGCCATTTCTTCTCTTTTCCCAGTCACAGAACTGTATGAGGAACCCAACTGAGGGGCCAAAGTCTAGACATTCTTTGTCTAGTAGTACAAGCTGTATGTTCCTTACCCCATGAGGAACAGGGCAAGTGAGTTGGGAACATGGTCATGATGCCACTTCCCTTATCTGGGAAGATTCTAGGAAGTAATGCATACTTGTCTTTTAAACAAGAGTATTAGAGTACTTAGAGAAGGTATCGCTTTATTCCTGATGCTCCCAACTCTACATATGTCTTCCATAACAGGCCCATTCTGTATGGGCAAAATACCTCTTGCCATCAATCCTAAGGCTGTACCTTTTGCCTCCCACCCATCTCCTGAAATAAAGAATTTGGCTGGGGGAGTGTGTATGTGAATACAGAACTTGTTTATGTCATACTTAGTTGCTTTAATGTTCTCTTCCTTGAATACCAACAAGCAGTTGTAGTCATTGTCACACTGAATTATAACTTCTACTGGGATTATTTTACTATATGATAATTCTGAGTTCTTTTTTTCTTATGACTGTAGAATTTCTTCTCAGAGAATTTCATTTGGTCTCAGTGAAAGTTTAAGGGAAAAGATGAAAGCTAATAAAGGAAAGGATCATATCAAATTCCTTGTATAGAAAGCAAATGAATTTGAAAACTTCACCATATAAAGCACCGGAGTTCTCTCACTAACAGCATTTGTTTTCTATTGTTTATCTACAGAAAATACAAAACTCTACCTTTGATGACTGGAAGAACATCAGAGGACCTCGTCCATGGGAAGACTCCATATCTGTCCAGGCACAACAGAAGGAGGCTCTTAGTTCCAAGTCATCCTGACTGAGCCTGCTCACTCTGATGTCCATGGGATCAAGGTCTCTTAATGGCAGTGACTGGACTTTTCAGTCTTCCAGTTCAGTGTCAAGGACAAGCATGGGTAGGTGGAAGATAAGGGATATCATCAATGAACAATCCAAGTCAATGGATAAGTGATTCATGTACAATAAATCTGAGACCTATGGTGAAATAAAGAACTTAGTGTGAGTTTTCAAAGACTGTGTATATTACATCTCAATAAAGATTAGTTCATTCTCCACTGGGGATGTCAGAGTCTCGCTTCCATGGTAGTTTTCAGTGGCCACTGTTCAAAATTTTGATGACATCTAGCAACTCAACCTGTCAGTACCACAAGTTGTCACCCTAATGTGACAATGCCGCAGTCTAGACATGTGTGACCAGATGCATGCTGGCTCAGAGCTGCAGTGTAATCTCAGGCTCAGGGCCTTTTCATTTTGGAATGACTCCACAGAATTATGAGCTGTTAGGGAACAGTGGACATGGTTTTGGATATGTAATGCTCTTTTGTTTTATTTCCAGCACCTTGCCTCTAGCAGCGTCAGCAGGTAATTGTTTTAATAATGTTCATTTAGCTGCAGTCAGATTTCTGTAATCATTTTATCAATATGCTGGTGCAGGCAGCAGTTTTCCTAGTGGAAAACCTCAGTTTAATTTGGCAGCTACTGTCCTTGAAGAGCATTGCTAGTTTTATGTGAACTAGCAAAATAGTAGAACCTTCTTCGTCCAGTATGTGAGGTGCAATTCTTCCTCCTAATATCATAACATGCTTGTATGGACAAATTTAAGGAGACAGTTTTAACCAGCTACTGTTTTAATCCTTTTTTTTGTGATGTTTTCTGCTTCCAGTGAGTTTTTCAGCCAAAACGAATGTTTCTGTTTTGGTGCAACCTATTTATGAAACTCCCAGGGAGCTGGGTACTTGAGTGTGGATCAACAGAAGATGCTACTTTCACAGCATTTACAGAGACATACTGCAGTTCCCTCCCCTTCTCAAAGTGATGTGTCTGTTGCAACCTGAACGGCTTCCCTGGTACTGTCTACCAGGCAGCCTCTCTCCCTCCATGCAGATTTTGCCTCAAAACTCACTTTTCCACTTTCTGTCCAACAGTGAGCTCTGCTCGCTCCTGTGCTCAGCTAATAAAATTTACATTAATTCCAAATAGGAATTAACTGGATCCATGCTGCATGAAATCAAACATCTTGTTTTTTATAGACTTATTTGCTTTATGTCCTCACCGACATGTCAGATTGTATCTAATCTGAATGTGGTCTGAAACTGTTGTTCCTTTCTTTCCCTCCTCCTCCCCCCCTACACACACAAATTTTAGCAAAGTACAATATCCAAGAGAGAATAAGATGTTCAATACAGAGGCAAGAAAATGAAAAAATATTTTAATAATAGATGCAGTTAATTAGAATATGGAGACATAAAAGACACGGACAGATGATCACCAGCCCCACAATACACCAATGTATATTACACTGTGGTTTGTAAGAGACAGATCAGGGGAGGCTGCTATTATTGGGCCTTTCCACTGGGTGGCAGAGCAGCAGATAATAACCTGGTTTTTCTGTTCACCTTAAGGACATTACAAATGGAGTGTGATTATTTTTCTCCTAGACCCCAGTTCACAACACAGCTCCACAGTTTGGTGCAATTGGCATCACAGCGCAAGGGAGGTATTGCACTAGCACACCAAGTCTGGCATCTTAGTCACAGCTGGTACTATATGGCAGGGGGAGCTGTAAGTCAGGGCTGAATGATATTAGTAGAGGTTTTAGAGAAATCCTTTATGGTGGGGTTAAGCCAATCCAGTGGCAGGTCAGAATGACCCAGCTCAGACCCAACAGAGGCTGGTGCTAGTACCTGGCCACTGCCACAGCTACTGCTTCTTCCTGCCACAGCTTCTCTTCACCACCCAGCTGCAGTTCAGCATGGGTGAAATACCTTGCCATGGTGTGGAGCAGTGCAGCCCATGCAACCTCCCTGCCCCCCCACTTCTGCCACGGTCACCAAAGCTCCTGCGCTGTAGGCTGGATCTAATAGTTCTGTGGGCCATAGGTAACCAACCCCTGCCTTTTTGCACCTTTCTGCACTCTGATTAGGTCTGGCCAGTGTTTTTAGTCCATTGTGTTCACAAGCATTGTTTTCAACCCAGGTTTTGGGAGGCAGTTTTTGCTATGTATTCTATGCTATTACTGTAAACATGCAGAGGTGGTCTAGAAACATGACTATATTGTGCCTGGAGACTGAGTATATCCTTCTTTGTGAAGGGATGCAGGCATGTGACCATCTTATGTGGCATGTTCCTTTGGGAGAACCAAGAAGTCCTAGCCTTTTCTTAGACAGGAGCCTCTAACTATGTCTGTTACCAGCATGGTAGATAACTCTTCCATGTTTGTGTAATAGGTGCTCATGAAAAGCATTGTCTCTCCTGCCACTAATGTAATTTGGTGTGTAAGTCTTTTGAGCATGCTAACACTTATTGAAGAGCAATGAGACAATTGGCCAGAGGGTCTCAAAACATACAACTACAAACCCCATTGGGAAATGTGATAGTTATAGGTACATATATCAGCTGATTGTCATTGCGTGTGGTGGGGGAAACCCTCTTGTTGCTATTACAAAGATGCAATTTGATCTGTACCTTCCAGATGGGTTTCAAAAGGTTATAAAAGACTCCATTCCTTTTTCAGGAAACTGAAACATGGAGAGGGTGATCTAATATTTTCAAAAGTGGCCTTTAATCATGAGTACCTTCAGTGTTGTGTGTCCAACCGGAGACATGGGTTTGACTTTTCTCACCCAACCTATACCAATGGAAGATGCAGGTGCATGGACCCTTAGCAGCTGAAGTTGAAAAACAAATATGGAGGTATCCAAGATTAAAAGTTACTTAAGTGCCTTGCCTATTGCTAATCATGGCTGAGGATGGATTGGAACTCACCTCCTCTCCTTGCTGTTCCCTGCTGTGGTCTCCATAGCATGAGGTTTCACAGGATATTTATATGAGCTTGCATCAGTTGCTGAAAATGTGAGGATCAAATAATTTGTAACATTGGATTCTTCTTAGTTCTGTTTACATGCTTTTGTAGTTTTCACATTCTGTGATTGTGTGGATCATTCACAAAAGAAACATACCAGCACAGGCCATAGGCTCAGCATGGGGTATTGATGAGTAGGGTGTTACATCTGTTGTCTCCTTTCACCCAGAGGGAAATGTTTCTGTGTAGCTTTGTCCCTTTTTTGCTGGGACATGATTCTGGAAATGTGCCCAACTGATTTTGTATATCACATTTTTATCATTTGATCATTAATAGCAATACAAAGCTTTTTGTTATTTTTTTCATAAGCCTCAGATGAAGAATCCAGTTCAGTAGGAGTTGCTTTGTTAATGCTTAGATTGCAACTCAAATTGTGACAGACTGAGGAAAGAGAAACTGAGGCTGTGGCCAGGCTACCACATGTGGAAAGGTCGCTGCTACCAACACTGAATTCTAAATAACTCTGCAGCCTTCATTTTTATCTTTTCCTTAGGTTTTAGTCCTTATGGAAGGTACTTGCTTTATATTCCTAGACAGATCAAAAGTTTATAGAAACAGAAGAGACACTCAGCATAGACTGGCATTGCAAACTGCCCCACAAACCCTATTAATATGCCTGAGAGCTGACCTGGTGAGACCACTTTACCAGCAAAAGGTGGGTCAGGGTCCAGGCCCGTTCAATCCTTTGGTTTCTCCACTGACGCTACCAGTAATTATGCAGACACTTATCTAGTAGTAACCAGACTGAGCCTCTCACTCCACACCTGTGACTGAGGTAAGTTTTTGTTGCGGCTAACTCAGACTGTATTTTTAACAGCTGACCTGTTAAAAATGAAAGGGTCTGTTCCCGATGACTTCATTCCCTGAGTCATCTGGCCTCCACCCATCACAAATACAGTTGCCATTCCAGGCAACTGGAGAACATTCATATAAGACCAAACTATCATCCCCTGCAGTTAGAAAGCAGAGCATAACAGCCAGGCCTGTTAATGCCTTGTCTGATGTCAGATACTTCAGTGAGGTTTACTTGGTGCAACCAGGAGAGGAATTTGACCTACTATTCTCTGCATCTTCACTCCTGCCCTTTTTACCTTTCCTACCTTAAGTCTTGTCTCATTTTATTATTGCATTGGATGTAATGTTCATTTTATAGGGATTTAGAGGAGCTGGCAGTTAAGCATGCAGGGTGTTTCCTTTTTGCTTTTTCTGTGTCTGTTTGAGAGCTTGCACACCAATTTAAGTAAGTGCATCTTGTGCATTGAGCTGTGGCTGGAAACAATGTTTTAATTATAGATGGTGTTTGAAATGAAAGGTTTAGAACCCTCTGTGCTGGTTTGCCTCAAGTCTTCAAGTTGGCAGACTAGAGCACATAATTACCATGAGCCTAAAAAGATAAAAATCCCATCCTAACAGAAGTGGAACCTTGGGACAGTTATTGGATGCTTCCCTTAACCTCACTACTTTGCAAGGGACAGATTTGCCTGCACATAACTGCTACTGCCTCATTGAAGGCTTTGAAAACAATTCTGCCAGCATGTTGAAAGTAAGAAACCACTCCAGTTGTAGCCAGCACCTAAAATAAGCAGAGGATCACATCTCAACGTTAGGGAGATCAGCAAACCTCAAATGGTTCAGGGTTTGTATTTAAATTTGGTTGCTTATTTGAACTAACTTTTTGAGGATCCTTCCACAGTGCTTAAACTGTTCCTAAAATATTTTGGGACAACTTAATAAAGCCCTAGGTAGAAAAAAAAGGCGTAGTTTAAAAAAGCATGATGTTTGTTATTACCATCAATTTCAACATGGTTTGGTGACAATACCATGGAATCAAGGTGAAAACTTGCTAGTAAACAGTGAGGAGATAAGATAGAAGTAATATGATCAACAAAAGTAGCTCCATTGAGAACTCTGAGCAGCAGTACAGCGTGCTAGCTGCAGTACCTGCAGAGATTGGGAAATCAGAAGATAATGAATTTCAATAATCAGGCTGAGAGAGACACTGATAAACACTTCTGTGGCCTTGTTATAGAGCAGAGCAACATAATGAAAGGGATGAAAATAAGGTGAGAGATCTGAATTCGAAGAGATTTGAATACAAGGAGTAAAGGAAAGGACAGGGAAATACCAAGGGGCTCTTTGCTAGGCAAGGCTAAGGGAAAGTGTGGAGATAAAAAAAACTCACAAGCCAAAACTTGG